ATTCATCATTTCTGCACAGATCACTGACCTTTGTTTCCATATTGAACCCAGAATCATTCAGGCTCCGTGATTAGAGGTTTGGAGTATGACAGTTGCATGTAGTGTAGCATCGTCTTCTCATACAGCAGTGACCTGTGTGTGATGTGATCCAGTGTATGACAGATAAATATATGCTAGACACACTTATGCATGGAGAGTGTGGGAGCTTACACAGGTTATCTGACCTCTTTAACAGAAAAGTGCTTCATTTTATTCTAGTTTTTGCTCTTATACACACTTATGGCTGCAGTGAATATTTACTCAGTTTTCTCTTTTTTATTGCTTCAATTTTAGTTTTCTGTCCTCCAGACGTCCCACAGCAGCCTGTCTGTGAGGAGGAGGAGGAGGAGGAGGTTCTCCTTGAGCAGCAGCTCTGGAACCAGGAGAGGAGCTCCAGTGTGGAGCAGGAGGAACCAGAAGCTCCACAGATTAAAGAGGAAGAGGAGGAACTGTGCAGCAGTCAGCAGGGAGAGCAGCTGGGACTGAAGGAGGAGACGGACACCTTCATGGTGACTGTTGCTGAGGAAGGAGAGCATAGACCAAACATGGAGCAGCTCCTCTGTCACAGCTCTGCTGTAGATCATGGAGAAAGCAGGAACGTTGATTCAACTAGAAAAAAAGTGTTACACAGTGTGACACATCTTAGGAACAAAAGTCACAATAACGGTGTAGACCCCCACATGTCAGAGATGCAGTGCAACACTGACACAGTGAAAAAGCTCGAAACATGTGATGTTTGTGGCAAAGCCTTTAAGAGAAGGTCCCGAATGAAGGACCACTACAGGACCCACACAGGTGAGAAGCCTCATTCTTGCAAAATGTGTGGAAAAAGCTTCACTCAGAGGAGCGCTTTGACTGTCCACATGAGAATCCACACAGGCGAGAGGCCGTATCCCTGTAAGACCTGCGGGAAAATGTTCACGTACAGTAGCATTTTGTTGGCACACATAAGAACTCATACAGGTGAGAAGCCGTACCACTGTAAAATATGTGGGAAAGTGTTCACGTACAGCAGCCATTTGTGGCGCCACATGAAAAGTCACCCAGGTGAGAAGACGTAGTTTTCAAAGTTTATTAAAGGAAACTGTGAAAGTCAGGAAATATTAAGTGTTTGCTGTGTACGACTGGATCACTGGTAACTACTGCTGAATCAGAGTGAGTGTATGAGAGTAGATTTTTATGTGTAGCAGCACAGGAGAAAGAAGTAATGCTTGTGTCAAACAGACATTGATGGTCCTCACAGAGCAGTTTTGAAAGGAGCCCAAATGAAG